TGTGTGTGTGTGTGTGTGTGTGTGTGTGTGCATGTGTGTGTTTTGGTGGTGCTCAAGTGCTCTGATTTATTAATCAACCAGTAAAAGAACAGTAGCTACATTACACATCACTTGGTAATTTGAGTGTTGTGCACCGTACGTTTCAGTGCTTAAAAGATTTGTTGCCCCTGTGGCTTGATGTATGGCAGTAATTAAAGTATCACACAAGCACACGGAGGTTCAGGCTGAATTTAATACAACTCTCTTCTCCATCTCTGGGGATCTGCCGAGTGTTGCTTTGAGTCTCGGTTTGTCAATGTCTGATTTCTATTTTTAAGGTTCCCTTAATGTGCAGTGACCTTGAAAAAGCCCCCCCTTTTACCTCTCAGATGGACTGAGTGTCAGGAAGTGTATCAGGGGTTAGAGGCTTTGTTGCTCGTGTTTGCTATGTCAGTGTGTGAAAGTGTTACTGTGCCAGTGAGAAGAGGGTGATTGAACGGTCAAGGCTCAGAGCCTCCCCTCTCAGGGAGTTTCACTGAGGGGACATGAGTGTGCAGATGAACGGATGGGTAAGGGGGTGGGGGAATCACATGTCATCATACATGTACAGTGTACAGTATATGACATAACAATCACGGGTAAAAGGTAGGGGAACATTTCAGGGAAGCCTGCAATTATGGATGAATACTCTCTGCTCTGATGCACATAATAATTACATATCAGCTAATTAGTTACCAATCACACTGCATTGTGGACGGGATTAGGAGCAGTCAAGGAAACAAAACTCAAGGGAGCCCAAGAGCGATCACACCACATCAGGGATAAGAAGGCTTAAAGGGAAGCTACAATAACACAGACACTTAGGTGTGTTATCACTAACTAATCTGGAGCTGAACACAATCTTTACACTCACTCTGGAGTGTACTAATGGTCACCGACTGTTGTGTGCTGCTGCTTAACAGACAGCTGCAAGCAAACAGTGTTCCGTTCAGAAGTCAGTAAGCTGTACTCACACTGCAGTTATTAAAAGATTACATCAGGGATCACAACACACCGTATGATTAATTAACCTTGACTGATGCTTTGTTGAGCCGAATCAAGCTGAGCAAGTGAGCCCACGGCTCTGCATGTACATACACATACGTATGAGATGGTTGAGGGCATCACTGTAGCCAGTCTACACCAATACTGACTCAGGGTTACTGTGGTGAAGCAAAGCCGTATTTCCTCCTGATTAGTATGAGAACAGTCTTCACATGCTCCTCGGTGCGCTCTTATTCGTCCCTTTCCAAACAGAGTGGTGGGACATTGGGTTTTGCCTTCTAAACTGAGAGCCTGCTTTCCCCCATCCCTGCATCTCTTGTGATCACTTTGGGCACAGACCAGTGTTTGATGGAATCATCATCCCAACCATCAAATCTGCATGCATCCAGTGTGTGGTTCAAAGGAGAGCTGACTCAGGAAGGGGTCTGAGACGCTCGGCTTCAGTCACGGGTGAGCAACACAACGCTATTGTAACCTGAAGGACAACGCATGAATAAAACATAACCGCTGCATTATAGTGGTTAGAGACGTCTTTTTCATTTCCAGGTTTGACACGTGAGGTATATTGAAGCTTATGGCACAGCAAAACATTAATCATTTCTCTGTGCTCTTACCACGTCGCACATACACACTCAAGAAATGATGCACTGCACCAACGCACACCGGCTAAACCCCTTCAAGATGTTCCCAGAGAAATCCTGAAGCATATTTTCAATAGTTTTTTATTAATATGTGCTGATACAAGGTCGCTCTGATGACAGAAAATCGCCTCCCTTTGGCCCAGACAGCTGTCAAAGCAATGACCATGAGAAGAAAAACAAATCAAATGAACATCATTGCTCAAAGTAAACAGAAACATAATCAAGGAATATTATCAACCTCAGAATAGAAATGTCTCAGTGATACATGATAAATTATCCATTTCATAGAAAAATCACAGCTCTGTAAATGGTGCTAAATGTAGAACTCCACATGGCACAATGTCAGGTCTCATTGTCCCTCCCACTGTCTAGCTGCTATATAAACCACTAGCACCCAATAATATAATCCCATCAATATGAGCATGTATCCAATACTGACCAGGCTCTGCTATAAGGGGCTCATCTAACACAGCCCTTAGCTGATTCTCAGAACATCCCATTCACGCGCTTGCTAGAGCCCGGCTACTCTCTGATGACAGACACAGGCCGTGATGGGGCTGTTTCTTTTCTACCAGCTCCGTAGATGATCACCAGTTTGAGATCGCTGCAGCCATGGACGAGCACATGCAGGCACATTTCAGCAGCTCTCTCAGAGACGGTGCACCAGGGGGAGGAAATAGAGAAGAAAACCTCCTGCCTGCAGATACAGTTTGCTCCGGCTGCATGTGGACACGTGTACAAAGCTGATTCACACCTTTCTCCACATCAGTGTATAAAACTGTCTAAACTGATGTGTTTTGATGATGGTTTTTGACCTTGGGGTCTGTCGTTGGTCCCACCCAGCTCATCAAGATGGCTGCCAGCCTGACTTGCCGGCACAGCTCCCCATTCAGATTCATAGACAAGGAAGAAACGGCACAATCCTCATCGCTGAGTCTGTGCCGTAGCCTTACATATTCTTAAAACTACTCTATTAGCACTGAACAGCAGTCATGTGGACATATATCAAGAGAACAATAGTAAAATAGCACTACTTTATCATTGTTTGCCGTTTAAAATCTATCATATTCATTGTTTTTTTGAAACTAAGCCTTGATTAGACCAAACAAAAATCAAGTCTGTCATCTTTCCTCCTGTACGGGAAGATTTTTTTTATTGTATGAGTGAACAACAGTGACTTTAAAGCTCTCTAACAGAAAGCCATCTCCTTATATCCAGATCCAGCCTTGCACAGCCTCACCACAGCCACCCCGCTTCTCTCACCGGCTGTGGCTATGATTTTGTGACATCTGTGACATCTCTGCTGATGTTGTCTCCGCTCTGTCCCCTCTTGGACCAGTCTTTGCAGAAATAATGACCCACCACTTCCCCGCTGCTGTTGAACAGTGTCCCCACCTCCCCCAAACCAACCCCGCGATATATATGCCGCAAAAATTGCTGGGAAATAACAAAAAAACAGTCAGAGTGTGAAAGGGTCAACTGCGAGTGAACGGGCCGTAGGCCTGCTGTGCGCTCTGCTGTCTAATGATAGGCTGAACAATGCCACAGCTCACTCTCCGCTGACACTGAGCTGCAGGGGTGAGACGGCACTGTGTCAAAGGTGGGCGTCCCACCTTTTAAACAACTTCCTATCTAACCACCGATCCACAGGCATGTCAGGCTTGCCGCCAGTGGGGAATGGGAATTGCATTAAACATCTGCAGACAGAAATAGGAGAGAGAGCAGGAGAGAGAGAGGGCGAGTTCACTGCAGTAAATTAGTACCCACGGTGTTATTATTGTAATCAGAGGGCTTTGAATGGTGGAGGAACTCCCGCGATGTGAGCCTTCCGTCCGACAGCGTGGGCCCCCCAGACCTTCTACTGTATAATCACCATCAGTTACCACAGCGCAGCACTCCTCTGTTTATTGAGATATTAATCTGGGGTAAACAAAGCTTTTGACAAAACAAATTAACGCTCTCAAAGAAGTGCTGCACTAATGGCGTCCATTGAGATTGATATTAAAATGTGGATGAGATGTGAGGGGGGGGGGTGGAGGCTGGGAGCTGCTGCTGGAAAAAAAAAAAAAAGGAGCAGGCCCTAGGTGACGCATACTCCTCCTCTCACAGGGAGCGTCTGTCTAAACAATGTTTCTCCCTGGGGCAGGTCCCAGCTGAGCACTAGAGATCAGCATCAGCACATTATGTCAAATGCAATGAGGGAGGGATGTAGTTAATGATGATGGTGATGAGGAGAAAGATGATGACCGTCTTGTTTTTCCCATTAACACTTCCACACTGGAGTGAATCGTTTTTATCTTCAGTCCTGCTTGTTAATATACATTCAGTTGTCCTCGGTTGACCAGTGAGTGCGGCGTCCCGACACCTGAGCTCTGAGACCCGTGCTTTGAATCGTCCAGCGCCGCAGCGGAACAGACGACATGTGCATACTGTCTTTATTTATTTTTACACAGACAGCTCACAGGTTCAGCTGCACCTCCGAGTCACACACCATCAAACCAGTATTGCACATGTTCCCTCAGTGGCTCACGTGACGACAGTAGGGCCTTCGTTCTGAGTTGCACTAGAAGCCAATATAATGTTACACAAATGATTTGAGAATAAATGGTGACAAATCCTTGTAATCTCTCTCCCTTATCTGCTTTTGACCCGCTCTCTTTCAGCCAGTGGAGCCACAGCTAGAAGCTGTCCTTGGGGTATTCTTAGAAGTGGGACAGTCGGGCCCTAGCCAAATGTCACACTGCAGTGGATGCATCTATTTTCTGCTCACGTCCATCCACACACGCACAAACACACAGGCACCACACTCGCTCATTTGCTGCAGGTTTATGAAGGAGATCAAAAAAGTAAAAAAAAAACGCCATGAATAAATCAATGTGAATAAATCTTCCAAAAACATACATAAAAACTAATAAACCATAACAAATAACTATAATAAAGCGTAGAAGAAGGCAAACTCTCAGTCGTGTAAAGGTCAGACAGATTTCAGCTGGATGAAAGTGGCTTCATGAGTGGCTCTCTCTTGACAGCGAATTTCTCAAATGTACCGCTTGCATAAAGGTGCCGTATTGAAAACACGTTCCTCCCCATCGGTCAACCGTACTTGTCGTTTTCATGGTATATGGAGATCTCATGTCTCCCAACGCGGCCGTTTTTTCCACTTCGTAACCGAATGCCACGTCCAGAGCAGCTGCCATTTGCGGCGAAGAAGTAATGGTAGCTTTCAAATTCATATGTATGCATTCATGTCAAATAAAATTGCCTTTCAAATGTATGTGCACATACAGAAGTCTGGTGCACGGCACGCACTCACTGGACGCACAAACAGGCATTCAGACACATTCATACTTAACACACCTGTGCACACACAAAGGACATGAATGAAATGTCACATTAGGCTCTGGAGTGATGCTGAAACTATCTTTAAGAAACAGCAAAATGCAATAGTCTCTGATAGCAAAACAAATGTCATTTTCATACATGCTAAACCCATGTTATCAAAAGAATGTAATCTGGTTATATCCTCCAAATAATACAAGAACAAACCAAATCACTTTATGGATGCTGTTGTTAACCCACAATGCTTCATTGTGCTTGTGAGGCACAGTATAACATTTGACATCTATCTCGCTCGCCCTACACATCCCGCCCACCGCTGCCTTCAGCAAGTCCACCCTGGGAATGTCAACGGTCAAACATCAACAACATGTTATGGATTATATTACATAAAAAATGTGCCAGATTTTTTTTTTTGATCCATTTTTTTTGAATAAATAAAAATCTACTCCACCTTATAATCTCTTTCTGCCTTTCTCTCTTCACTGGGTCAATAAGGAATTTCATTGAATGGCACAGTGCTGGGGCGCAGAGGAGCGAGAGCGAGAGATCGGGCAAAAGGGGAGAGAGATAGAGTGCATCATTCAGGTCACAAACTCCAAAACATTTTATTTTTTTCTTTCGGCTGTTGCAGTACAAGAAGTCATTTTTCATAGTATTTGTTACTTTTTGTTGCTTTTGATCATCTGGTGTCTCTATTTACATAGCAGGAATAAAGTAAATTCATGTGTGGTTCCTATGTACACGGTTATACCAATTGGTTGACCGATGCGTTTGCCACGTTTACAGTCTTGGGTTGTCCACACACAGGAAACAAGTCCACTTCGACTGTCTAGGCTCTAACAGCAAAGTAGAGGAGGGGTGGCGGGGCGAGGGGGGCGGGGGGGGGGATGACACCAGTCTGCTCCTGCAGCCCCCGGAGGATGTAGACCTCAAGTCAACAATTTGAATACTCTCTTCAAAACAATAGCAAGGCAGTCATTTGACTTTTCGAAAGCCTAAAGCAAACAACCGGAGAGAACAGTAGAGAGGACTGGCCAGTCTATGTGGGGGCAGGCCCTCCTGCTCTGGAAGGGCGGGGCCGCACCTCCTCAGTCTCTGCCTCTACTCCACTTCTGTCCACGTTGTTGATTCATCGCAAGAGAAGATGAAGGCAACACTGAATCAACTCCCACTGCCAGCTTGGGACGAAAGCTCTTGCTCCCTTTTACCTAGATGGAGTACTGTTTTCACTTCTGATGTTCAGTAATGAGCACTTCTGGATGAGTGTGCGTATGTGTGTGTGTGTCTGCACTTGCCTTGTGAGCGTTCTAGTTTCTGTTTTGGCTCAATAAAAGATATTTTTGGCAACAATGAAGAGCTTTCTGTGAGACATTTTTAGGTTATAATAGTGTTCTATATTCCTGGTCTCCACAGTTAACTACTCCTATCAAATAATGACTCGAAAAAGACCTATGGATGGTAAGAAAGGGAAACGAGATACAATATAAAATGATATTCCCATCTCCGGAGGCAGGTCTGAGGAGATATTACATAAAAAAACTTTAACAAAGTTTTAAAGTTTTGAAATATCTGAAGGTAAAGGGGGTGGATGGGTACATTCAGAGTGCTGGACTTGGCCTTAGGGTACCAAAGGAACAGGGGAGGAGTGGGTTTGGAGAGAGTTTATGAATGCTCTGTGGAAACACACCCATCACTCATCTCCATAAGACAGAGGAGGGTTAAAGATAAAGGCTGCTTCTGCAGAGTCAGCCACGACTTCCCCTGAAGGTCACTCTGTTTGCTCATCTGTTAGTTAAATAAATGTCAAGAGAAAGAAAGGCAACCAAACAAGCAGAAAGTGGAGAGATGCAAGCACGAGGCGAGCTGGGAGGCGGCTCTGGCCATCACAATAGTCCCCAACATCCTCCCTCAGGCTTCAGTCACAGGCTGGTGACCAGCTGCATCTGTCCGTCTCCCTCATTGTGGGCAAGCTCCTGAGCCTGGTGCCCCTCACCACTCGGTCTCCGGGCTGGGACCTGGTAGAAGGTCTGCATGGGGGCCCCACGAGAGCCCAGGGCAGGCCTCCCAGAGCTGTAGTACAGCTCCTCTGGGGGCTGAGCTGAGCGGGGCACCACTTCCAGGGGCTCAGGGCTGCTGTCAGGATAGGGTGAGTCTCGCAGGTTGGTGATGCTGGTGTACAGGGAGTCACGGGCAGGGGAGTCTGGCGCTCTGCTGCCTCCCTGACCGCCAGCACTCTGGCCACTGTGACCACTGTGGCCCAGGCTCTCAGTGAGGTCGGCCGTGTAGCTCTCTGACTCCTCTGGATCGCTCTGGTAGAGAACCGACTGGGCACGCTGCAACAGCAGGGGTTCCTCCAGAGCTTTATAAAGTAGCTCCACATCCTGCGGGGTGCGCTGCCGCCCGTCTCTCAGAAAGTCCTCATGTTCATCCATGCCCATAGGCGACTCTGTCCCAGCAACGATTGTCCCCCGACCGACCCCACCGTGAGGACGTCCCCTGGCCAGGCTGCCACACACTCTGTCCCCTACGTCACCTCCACCTCCTCCACTCCCTCCTCCAACACCACCCCTCAGGTTGTTATGCACGAGCTCCGAGATGATCATTTTCTCAAAGGCTGCCGCATCGGAGAGGTTCCGTCGGATACCTCCACCACCCAGGGCCTCCGAGCTGCGGGGATTGAGGAGGGGCGGCGGGCTGTCTCCACCACTACCTAGGAAGTCACAGCTGCCACCGCCTCCACCCCCTGGGCCACTGCGCAGGGAGTAGCTGTTGTTGAAGTTACCATTCAAGGGCAGGGTTTCCATCCCACAGGGGTCTCGGGCCTTGGATAATGTGGTCTCTGGACCCAAACAAGAGAAACAGCAGACAGAGAGTTTTGAAATTGTTATACAGACATATTCACATGTCAGTAGGAGAAAAATAAAAAATACCAAATAGTAAAATGTAACTTGGTGAAACTGAGATGATTTGTACTTACTTGGATCACGAAAGGTTCCTGTGCATCCAGAGAAAGTCATGCGGAGTGAATAAAAGCAAAGATAAGTAAGTGTTCTTTAATAGTGCAACATTAACTTAATGCATTTCTTTTAAAGCGGAACCATTAACGGAATAAAAAAAATATCCTTGTCCATTCACCACCTTTCTTTTCTCTATGTCTCTCTTAAATCCAACCTCCAAACTCCCAAAGGCACACACACCCACATTAACTTTGATTTATGCAGACTTACTTCTGTTTTTTTTTGACACCATATTCCTCCAACATTTACATCCAAGCCACAGCAAATACTCAAGATACAGGATATATAATTACTTCTGTCAGTGATACCTAGACGCATACATAATTCATGCAAAACCTTGTACAGTAGCAGTAATGTTTATTTTGCAGGAAAATATGTCTTGCTACCACATTACCGTCGCACGGCAAAGCAACAGCCACAGCCACCCAAACAGCAAGGGGCATGTTCATTTTTAAAATTCAATGTGTAGCGTGACTTTAATCAACGCTCTTATTCGTTGGTGGTGTGGGTAATTAGACATTCTAATGAAGTGCTCTCCCTGCTTCCTCTCCCACTCTCTTCTAAAAATGTCTCGGCTGCCAGGCCCGTGGCCATCAGGCTTGACGTATTGTGCGGAGAGGATTTAAAATATTTAGCAGAAACGCTGCCTTAAATTTCAGTCCTCAGACACCAGGCCAGATACTCTGTGGGCGCATGCATGCAGAGCCAGAGATCAGCCGCACACAGTCGTGGCTCTTCCGTACCAAGTAAATATTGGTACCGTAATGGAGCAATTACCAAAATATGTCTAATGCAGCAATTACAGACATCCAAAGAATGCAATGGGGATGCAGCAATGCGATAAAACTGCTATCATGCTCTTTAAAGAGCCCCACTCTCCCCATCCACACATACAGTGAGCACTCTGACCGACCTACATCCAGATGGACCGTCCCTGGCCACTGAGCTGTCTGATCCCTGATTTGAGCCGACTGCGTCTTCTGCCCAGGAACATGAAAACCGTCCTCAAGATTTCTGGCAGCCACAACTGTAGCTAAACTTCTAATCAATTTGTGGCTGTTCTCATGAAGATTTGAGATCTAACCAGATGGCTGGTTAGGCTATAGGCAGTGTTTGGCACTGCTCTGCTGAGGCTCGTGAATCTGTCTGACAGCTCCACGGGCTGAAATAACAACACACAAACACGGCTCTCTCTCTCTCTCACACACGTGCAAGCACTCAAACACAGAAGCGAGTGTGTGTACACCATGTCAGACTACTGACAGAGTAACACACAGACGGACAGCGAGCAGAGAGCGCACTGCATCCACACACATGTGCTGTCAGGACATGCACGCACACACTGGAGCATTTACGAGGAGCTAACCGGTAGAGTTGAAGACACCAGGTGAGGGCGGGGTGAAGCTCTCAGCCAGCAGAGTGTTGTAAGGAGAGGTACCAGTGCGAGTCTGTAACACTGGGTTTGTCAGAAGGTGGTTGCCCATGGTTGCTGCGAGACAGACATAAAAAAAACGATGAATATAATCATAAACAGGCTCTTAAGTGTATGCAAAGCAAGCATGCGCGGAGGTCCTGCACACAATAGGTGTAATATTCTGAAACTCACATTTCCAGACTCAGTAATAACATCTGGAATCACAGAAATATTTACTGTTTATTCAGATGGGGTTATTTCTGTTATGCTAATGCTTTATAGTGTAATGCATTTTACACTGTTCTCCTCAATGTTTATGCCTGCTGATTGTAACCTTTGAGTAAAAATACAATTGCAGGGGAAAGGTACTGTGTGGAGCATTGCCATGCAGTTTTATCCCCCCCTTTGGCTCCTGACATTGTAGTCAGATGGGGGAGAACAATAATGCATGCCATTATGTGGTCTAGGGGTGCAGCCATTGAAACACAGTTAATTTCACAGGGAAATGTGAATGCCACCACAAGACAAATATAATTCAAAGAAATGGCACACTGAGAATGTTGTATAATGCCCATGTATGGCTCCAGCCTGAGGCAAGTCGAATAGAAATGCCATGAAATTAAAAATAGGACAGCATGACGGAGAGTGGTCCAAGGCAAAGTGCAACCTTCAGGTCTCACGCCCACCGTTCATCACACAGCACAGGAGCAGGGAATTCAAGAAAAAAATGAAATATGCGCTCAGGCACAGCTCTTTATTTGTCATTTTCCATCCTCTTGCACTCCCCCCTGTCCATCTCTCTGGCATGCCGCACAAACCCCTCTCCCTCCATTCTCTGGCTCGCTCTGCTGTGTCTTGACTCAACCACATTTCGTCAGTTCCTCCTGCCAGAATTTTTTCAAACACCACCAAATTAGTTGGGATTAGCAGCCTGTCTGTATCTCATAGGAATATCCTGTAGGAAATTAAAAGAACTAGCTTGAAGTGGAAAGAAAAAGTAGGGCAAGGGGAATCATGGGAGGCCGTGTGTGTGTTTGCATGTGTGTGTGCGTGTGCGTACACAGCACATCTTCTGGACACATTACCATTATCAGGAAGAGATTTGTGGTTCATAAGGAAGTAAAGTGGAGAAATCAAAGAGATCTGAGATGCCAGTGATAACGACGCAGTGTTTCTCCTCCATATTCAGCCTCTTTAATTACTCCTCCATGATAGCACTTCTCTCTATGTCTCTCTCTTTCCTCTCCTCCCTCCTGCACTCCCTCCCCCGCTCCCTCCCCTTCGTCTTTCACTTTCTGTGAACTGGCAAACTTTTTCTCGGAAGCAGAGAAAACGAAGGCTTCACGGCACAGTTGTTTGTGTTTGACAGCGCAACATGGAACTATCCACATTGTGTGTCTCCTTCAGGCCCGGTGATTGCTCTATCGTGACGAAAAAGCCCCCCCACTTGAAACCGACCCAACCCGACATTCCCACCACACACACACACACACACACACAAACACCTCATCCATTCAGCTCACTCATAGCACCCCTATTCCTCACCCCCTGCCTTGCTCCTGTCACTCTCCTCAATTAGAATAATTACCCCCTGTTCGCTCACACGCTAATCAGTTCATTAAAAACCAAATGGATGAAATTAGCATAGAGAACGATGGCTGATTTAGCTGCTGCCTCTGTGTCATCATCAACGCCCCCTCCTGAAACCGGAAACCTGAGCTAACCTCCGTCGTCTCCGTGTCACTGATAGCGGCGGCCGTGACGCCACCAGTTGCTGAGAATAATACAATCGGTGACTTAAAACATACTTTTCAAAAATCCCTGGTGCCCTTTTCATGTGCTCTGCTGTGTTTAGAGCCCAACTGCATGCGTCACTGCATTCTGGCTAAGAATATATGGATGTTTGTTTGGATGTGATCGATTCAACGCAGGTACAGAAATCTAAAAATTTAAATTAGGGCTGGCAGTGTCCACTTGTACTATAATATTTTGCTATAATTATGGTCACAGCTACAGCCATTACATGATAAATGGTCGGGCACCACAAGATTTCTGTGTATTTTGTGTAGAAATTATACTCGTAGGAAAAAAACATATTTTTAAAAGAGTACAAACCAGACCTATATAATTGGAGAAAGGAAAATATGTCTTGAATGGAAATTCAACAAATGTAAAGACACCATGACACCTCTTTGTCATTAGGGCATTTAAAATTAAAGGCACAATACAAAATGAGAGAAGAGATGAAACACTATTTAGTCAAAATGGCAGCGAGTGAAAAATAATTATAGCCTGTAACACATGTGATCTTAGATATGGTAAACGGCTGCAGAGCCTCTATCTTATTCATCATTATTTTTAAATACTTAAAATTGTAGATGCACTTAAATCTGCTTAATTACTGCAACCCATCATCCATCAACCAGCCTTAAATCAAACAAAGCTATTGTTGCTACTAACTTCCATTTGGCTGTTTGGCAATCTGAACCATTAATTAACGTTACAAACCAGTGTGAGCATGAATTTCATTATCCTGCATTCTGTCATATACACACATTTAACAGTGAATAATGATGCTGTGCTTTGCTTTAATCTGTCCACTCTATTCTCATGATTTGTTTTTTGCTCAGCTGTGCCAGTCCACACACAAGTACATTACATTTTTTTTTGAGTGTGCAGAAGTTAACGAAGAGGAAGCAGAGCAGAACTAAAGCGACGCCTTACCGCGGTTGAGTGTCGGGGTGCTGTTGATATCTCCCGCCATGAAAGAAGATTCTGTCTGCTTCCGAACCGTGTCGTTCCACATCCTGCGGATGCGACTCTGGAAGAGGGAGCAGAGCGCAGTGAGTGGCAGAAAAACAGAAAGTAAGTTAAATATAGAAACACGGCGGGTAGACTTTGTAACTCAGTGGGGCTGCTGTAATCAAAACTGTGGGGCTCGCTCTAATCCACAAAGAACAATAGACAAACATGTCAGATAAAAGGAGAGAGGTGCCGGGTAAAGAGGGCACACAGCTATGTCATGTCACGAGAGGTGATAATAAACGGGAGATGTGTAAGACATGATCGCTGATGGAATGGTAATTTGCAAGCGTCTCATTGAATTGTGTGAAAATTTGTTTTTTCATTTGTGAGAAAGAACTGTTGTCATGACCCGGCTCATGAGCCATGGTATAAATGGGATAAACACAGACTTTAAACAGAAAGGCAGGAAGTTTATTAATAAGTTAATTATGAAATATTGTGGCTGTGAGGCGTGTTAGTCAGTATCAGTGTGTCGGCAGGTGGATGAGTGTGTACGGTGTAAAACCGGCAAAAGAAAACCTGGTGCCGGAGGGATGAACGGAACAGGTCTCAGCCTTTCTATGATATGAGTTTCTGTCCGTAAATGAATTGTGTTTCTCAGTGTTTTTCCACTTAGTGTCATGGCTCATGAGTCAGATCATGACAGTTTAATATAAAGACTGAGATCTGTTAACACCTGCAGTCGCTCGCTCTCCATCCCAAGCACCATGTTTTCTTCTGTTGTGTTCGGCCAGGTTTTACACTCATCATTAATCCACCTGCTCACACACCCTGTTCACACCTCAAACCATTAATATGTTTTCAGTTATTGTCTTATAATGACAAGTTTGTTTATCTTTTCATTTAAAATCCGTGTTTCTCCTGTTTCTGTCATGGCTCATGAGCTTGGTCAGGACTCCACTGGTGTCTGTGCCACTACACATACACCAGCATGTACACTACTTCCATGGTGCCTTTATATAGCGCATAGACTTTCACTTCGATGAGTCATCTGCTCTGTAAAGCACAGGGACTGCCACTTATGGACGGAAACATAAAATAATAAATGATAAAATACTCAAACAGGTAAACTGCCTGATTAGACCAGATTTTCAACAGAACCATGTAAATAAATCATCAAATATTATCATATATTTCACTTAAATACTGCTCTGCCACTGAGACTAAAATGTAGAGTAACAGTGATGTTTCACTCGCTGCACATCGCTCTGTCACTGGCAAACACAACATGACTGTGGACTGAAAGTTAAGTAAATAAATTCAAGTGCTGTGCAAAGAAATGAATGAATCATTGGTATTGATCAGCAATCAAACTCCGACAGGTAAACTCACTTTGTACCTTAGAATCTTACACAACAGACATTTAAACCAACAAACAAACAAAAAAATATAGATGGATGTAAATCATTTGAGCCAAAAACAATGAATTAAAAAAATCTGATAAATCAAATAAAATCATTGGTGCAAATCCAGGCTTACTTTTCATTTGATCTAAAGAAATACGATTTTAATAAAGACAAAACCATGTGTGTATAACTTTGTGTGTGCGCAGTCATTTTATGTGTGAGTCTGTCCTGCCTGCACCTGTCTGTGGGCCGCTGCATGGCGAGCTTGGCTGCCGCTATAGTAGCGGTTGTTGGCACGCAGGCCCGAGTTCTTCAGGGAGCCGTGGGAGCTGGTGGTGGAGGTACGGCTACAGCAGTAGGAGTGACGCAGACACTTACTGTACTCCTTATGGACCTGTAAGAAAATAAAATAATAAAAAATCAACAACAGTGGCAGGTTGTAAAGCCACTCGTAAACACAAACAATTAGTTTCAAGAGGCTGGACCCAATGTGGAGCAACAGAGGCTTTTATCGCACAGTTACAGCAAAATGTACTTAATGAAATCAATCTGAACATCCATCCATCCATCCAACACTAGTCTTGTATCATTACCTTCTTCTGCAGGGCACAGTGGAAGATAAAGATGAACATGCCCTGGAAGGCGTTGAAGGTGGTGAAGAGGTACGCCATGATCACCGTGTTCTCGTTGATAAAGAGGAGACCAAAGGCCCACGTCAGGCCCAGCAGGAACAGCAGAGCAATGGCCCCCAGAGCCCATGACCTGATGGATGTGGACGAAGAAATGTTAAGTTTAATGTTAACAGTTTTGAGCAGAGACAAACTGAATAATCCACCAGACAATGAGGTTTTTTAATCATGCAGTTCTTTTTCTAGGGATAAAAACAATAACAACACTAGTTTTATGACTCTCAATGAATAAACTGAACTCACTTAATGTTATCCAGGCGGCTGGAGTCAGGTTTCAGTGCTGAGGAGTTGCGAATCATCTTGTGTAAAGTGATTATGAGGAAAATGAGGTTGAGCTGGGGACAGAAGATTTGGAGAATCACATAAATACGCAGTGAATTTTGCTGCAAAAAACACTATTAATAAACTCACAAATTGAGCATGGCAAAATATGTTTGGTTTTACTGCGTGATATCAAGATAGAGAGGGGAGTAATACTGTCTGACGGAAAAGCAAATACCATGATAACAAACGAAACAGGTCCAATGAAGCTCCAGATGAAGTAGTTATCCACTCGCAGCCAGCATCTGGAGTGACAGAGGAGAGGAGAGTGTTACACTCAGCTAAGCTCATGAACAAACACACACATAACACAGAGGTGCGCACACACACACACAATGGCAGGCGTGCACACACCATTTCCCTGTCTCGGCGGATTATCATATGAGGGCTAATCATCAGGCTTTGGCTAAGTGCGTTCAGAAAAGCCAGTCCGCGGGGAGGTGCAAGAGCCGTTTACACAGCACTGCATATTACATTTCCAGCTGGGGGAATAACATAATCCTGCTTCTCAATCTGCAGGTGCAAAAGGCCTGTCTTCACACGTACGCTTTCTTGGTCCCATAGCTCCTGTAGTCTATGGCCGCCGAGATGCCCACCACCAGTGCGGGGAAGCAGTAGCCACACAGATAGTAGTACTTTTTGCGGGAGTACTCGCTCTCAAAGACCTCCACCAGCATGAGATAGAGCTGCACACCCTCCAGACACATCCAGGAGAAGGCAGCCAAGAAGAAGAAATGCAGAAGGCCAGCAAAGATGGGACAGGCGATCTGAGGGAAGCAGCCAGGGAGAGAGCAGAGACGAGGGGAGAGGATGAGGAACGAAAATATTAAGATGAAGAGGGAGAAACAGTTACGATCAAGGCCTATGACTGAGTGAAAAACAGAAGGGGAAAGAGCAGAATCAGAATCTGGTGGTAGTTTTGGAAATTCACAGAGAGGAAAAATGAATAGCTGTCCCCTGGGTGACGGCTCTGCATATTATTGAGTGGTAATTCATCACTTTAATAAATGTTTTACAGAGAAATCTAATGGCAGTTTCATAGTCACCTTTCAATAAAAAAAGTTTTGTGTTGTGTTGTATGCTCTCAATGACATTTTCAAGTTGGAATCTATAAAAAAAAAAACTAATCTTGGGTTAATGGCGTTTCAAAGAAAAGGACGTTCTCCTATAAAGCAGTAAAACTGAGCAATACGTTTCCTTCCCAAGAAATCAGACAAAATCCTATCCATGACTAAGAATCTAATGTCCTTGACAGATATCAGACGAACGCATGGCAAAGAACTCACGTGATATTCCGTCTTGTCTATGCCGATGAGGAAGAGCAGCTCGGCGATGAAGAGGTTGATGCAGAGGTTCTTGTGGATGGTGTTGCGGTCGGTCTGCAGGCCCCGCAGGAAGCAGAAAGTGGAGATGCAGATGGCCAGACACACCAGGGAGATGACAATACCCACCCAGGTGATCACAAACAGGATCAGTTCATGCATGCGCCCCTGGTACTGAGGTCCGGAGAGAGTCAGGTGAGCGAAAGTGGAGGGTTTGAGAGTGTGGAGGGGGAATGGGAGGCAGATAAAATAATTAAAAAAAGATTCAGAGGTAAAAATAGAGGACAAAGTGTTGGAGTGACAGCAGGACAGGAGGAGGAGGTAGAGGAGGAGGATGAAGATGGACGGGACAACATTGGAAGGAAGAAACAATAGGGGATAGATAAACAGAAGAGGGGGAGGAGGAGAAAAAGAGCAAAATTGCTTTATTTAATATTTGTAAATATATGCAAGGAGCTAAAGTGTAGAGACAAGAGACAAGACGTCCGGAAAAAAAAATACATGACATTCAAATTCATGTGAATGTCAGCTAGAAGTAGCGGGACATGAATTTGCAAGCGTGCGCCTTCCCGTCAGAGTGAAAGAAGGGAAAGAGAAAATTCAAAACAAAGAGCTTGTCAGCCTTGAGAGGGTACATTAATGTGCATGCGTGTGCGTCTGTGTGACAGAGAGCGAGCGAACGCTAATCCTCGCCCGACTGAACGTCTGCATAAATTACCCAGCTTCCATTTTAACCGAGCGTCTGCCACGCCCTTGTTTACTCACGTCGGGCTCGTGGTGCGCCATCAGCACGGCGAAGTTGGTGAGGTGGCTGCACGAGCAGGTGGTGTGCGTGTTGTTGGTGTCCAGCAGCCGGCAGCCCTGTGACGACCACTGTCCTGTCATAGAGCGCTCCGAGTAGTTCCAGAAGGAGCAGTTTGGAGTGTAGTAATTCTCTATCTGAGGGAGGAAAAAAAACAGGAGGGATGATGGGAAATGTGTGTGTGGGTGAAGACGTAAATTAAGCACGATAAAAGCTGTATTAGGTCACCTGCAGATGTTTGAGTGTGAAGACCACCGGCTCTGTGAGGAACACTCTGCTGGACTCTTTGTTGATGGAGGCTGCGATTACGTGGGAGTTGACTGCCAGTCGCTTCTTATCGTGGCTTGACCCCTCCACTTCCATTTTCAAGGTGGCATTCTCAGTGGACAGGAAGGATCCCAAGTTTTTATAGAGCACAAACACCACCTTGACTTGTCCTGAACATGGAGGAAAAAAAGAGCGAGAACAAAAGGGAGAGAATGTGAGAACAAGAGCGGTAAAGAAAGGGAGCAGATTTTATATATGAAAAGGGAGATATAGATAAACAGGGAGGAACCGGGGAGAAAAAAGAGCAAATACAGAAATGGGGGAATCATATGGTAATGGCAGCAAGAGTGACAGAGATAGAGAGTGGGGAGTGACAGGGTGAGCAAGAGGGAGACAGAGAGAGAGAGTTAGTGAAGGTTAGAATGATGGTAAGGACCGTTTCATTTTGACTGGTGGAAGAGAGAGAGATTTAATGTGGAGGGCAATGGAACATTCATCCCTCAAGCATTCACAGATCTCTTATTATTCCATATGAATATTTCATGTGCGTTTGTTTCAATCATTCTAATCTCGTTCCCACTGCAGAGCCGAGTGGAGACAGAACAGAGAGAGGGGTAGGGGATGAGCGGCCATGGCGGGAGGAAGGGAGCATCAGTGTGGGGGGATGACGGGGTGCAGTGTGTGTGTGGGGGGGTGTGGGTGTGTGTGTGTGGGGGGGGGGAGAAACAAGGGAGATGAGAGAGGGGGATAAGATGGCGAAGAGACGGAGCGAGCGGATGGAATGGGGAGGAGAGGGAGTGCTGAGATTGCTCTGTCAGACTGGGGCCGATTGTAATCTACACGCCTCCCCAGCTATTCTATTAAGACCGCTGTTAAGAAACCATCAGGAAAAGAAATTGTCTCAGCGCTTTTGCTAATCTGATTAGCCTATTATTATGAGCCACTAACTTAGTCAAGTGCATGCAGATTGTTTTAAGCTTTCATGAAAATGCAAATGTCAACATGAGAGAGTGGGCTGCACGGGACGGTGCAGTTTCTCTTTTTAGTCGCCGCGGTGAGGACAGGGAGGGGTATGAGGGCTGCTGACCGTTGCGGCTGTACTGTTTGATCGTGGAGGCTGAGAGCTGGATGGTGCTGTCGCTGGCGTAGTTCTGTGGGAAGGACAAGTCCTGCAGGTCCATCTCTGTGTTTAGAACGTGCACCTCAAGGTCTGGTGGTGGAAACACAGCACATGGACAAGTATATGAAGAAGACCCAAACACACACCCTAGAGACAGTTAAACCAGACATCCACCAGATTTAACTCTCATTCTTTCCGTTTTTCTTACCAATGCTGAGCGTTCGGTCGGAAAAGCGATTCCCGTACATGTTGTTGGCCAGCAGGAAAGCTCCTTTCTCCAGGACGTCCAGCAGCATGGTGGCAGTGTGAGCCTGCTCTGTGCTGTTCATGTCCTGCCACGACTCCAGGGCCTCGGGACGCAATAAGTTGTCCACGGTTTGCACCACCGCCTGTCGCGTACAGGACACTTGTTACTGTCACTGAATGTACCACAACAAAATAAGCATCCAGCAACTAGTGATAGAGGAAACCAGGAAATAACTGATAATTAATAGACAGCTTATATGTGGTCACAGTGGATATTCAAGACACAATACATACTTTTTTCCCACATAAACATTAAGTTTTTCATATTTAAAAAGTAGATTTTTTAAATAAATTAAATATTAAAATCTGTTTTTCATCTTTAGAAATATATTTTACCCGTGAGCCATTTTTAAACTAATTCTAAGTTAAAATTCATTAATCGTGAAGCTGAAGCTAGCCACCATTTACTATGATACACAACTGCACATGAGAGTAATATGTTCATAATAGGGTAATAAGCCAGTAATGAGTGCTCATTGGTTTGTGCCAATTAGTGCGTAATGCTGAGTGTACTAAATGACACAGAACCGTCCCTTTAGAAAGTGATTAGTGTGCAGATATCTAGTAACTAATTATTAGACACTGGTTCATTAACAGTCTCTTCTCAGGAAGTGCTATTAGCTATTAATTAGCTATCAGTGAGTAATTATCAGTTAGTTCCTGCTCTGTTTATTACCTGTTCTTTGATAATTACTCGTTTTATGTATTGCGTAGAGTATTTGTATTAGCAGAGCACTTCAAAGTACAAAGTCACAACTATCCATCTGTAATTTCCTAGAAACTCACCACTCTCCTGCACTAGATTTATTACAGACGTATTACCCTTCTATTTCACACTTACAATTCATTTAATGGCAATTTTGATGGTTGTATCAGCTATCCAATTTATTGGAGTAGCCTGCCTGATGAATCATGTAATTCTCTTGCTCAGGCCTCTCAAAATGAAGGATTGACTGCTGTATGGAATAAAGAGCGTCGCTGTTAACAAAATGAATTCGGCATCAGAACCGCCGCTGCCACTGGAGACAAAGATGGAGGATGTTCGGGGGTTTATCCTCAGATCAGCGGAGGGGGGGAGAGCACCGCGCTGCACTAGCTTGCAACGGGTGACAAAAAATAATGGTCGAGTTACATACTACGCAGCAGCCTTTACTTCATCCAGCAGAGATCAGAAGATGTGGTGTCGTATTACAGTGCGCTGCAGACAGGTCAAGACACAAAAGACTGTGTGCTGCAGAGTGCCGCATTTCATCATTACAGAGAAGCATACACAAGGCCTTTTCATGATATTAGATTACAGCCTTCTCAGAACCAGAGATATTGCACAAATATTGAAAAGGCACAGAGGGGTGGAGTAACACAAACTGATGCCTCTTATACTATCATCCAATTACATTTTCTCACAGCCACATATATTGTATCTTATTGTGCAACACATGAGGCCAATGTTACACTTTTAGGCTCTATCGCGGTGCAATAAAGCTAAGGTTATATGTCACAGACAGTTGATTTCCACACAAGCTGAACCACAATTCAAAGATGTGTACACCACGAACAATAGGAAAACTACAAATCACTGCTCTGGGAAATACTTCACCAGCGTTTAAATACTATACATGCTGTCTGTCGGGAGTTATACCAAACCAGAAATCCCATAAGTGATGATTCCATAGGAAATATAAATCATAACACAGAGCACTGAGCCAAAGGAATTTCATCTACAAGCCTGGTCTACTCAAGGATTTATCTTCCCTTAGTTATTTTAAGTCATGGAGCAGTCCTACTCCACAGGCATGTAAAGCAGGCAGATAAAGAGGAAGGGGTACCTGGATGTAGGCCCGACAGGTCCGCTCTCGCTTCTGGAGCTGGAAGGGACAAAACAGAAGCTGGAATTAAAAAGCTAAACACAAAAACTGTAAATTAAAAACTCACTCATCCTTGCATGTGCACTAGGGGGGGGAATTCTCGTTAACCCCAGCCTTCTTTTGTAATGCTTAAATTAAACAGCCTGTAGCCTGGGCGTGAGTGATTCTTGTGCTTAGACTTCTTCTACTTACCTTGTTGTAGTTCCGTGCAGCTAAATCTTTGTTTCCAGGCCTTAGGGCCTGAAGCTGGGCGTCAAGTATGTCCAGCAGCTGCTCGATGAGTCGCACGGACGAGCTGACATCTCCAGCCTGGATCCGACCCCGGGTGTGGTTCACCAGCTCTCCGGCAATATTGGCAGCATTCTCACCGCTCTTTATCTGCACATTGAACGTGCACAAGTTTACAAACAGTAATAAGATGAGCACTAGTCATACCTCAATCCACTAGATCCAGATTTATATTTGGATCTGCAACAAATAGCCAACACACTTTGGTTGACCAATATCCATCAATTATTCTCTGAGAATTAGGCAATAAGCCCTTTTTTCTTTCAAATTTCTTTCTCTCTCTTTTTTTTTCCTCAGCCAGGCCGGCCGGCTGGGGCCCTGCTGTGGTCGGCCGCATGCGCCTTCTGCTAGTTATGACACACCCAATCTTGCACTGTTAAAAAAAAGTGAAAAAGAAATCTTGGATCCAACCCCTCATCCAGATCTCCCCCAAATTTGAACAGTTTCTTCCTTGGGTTATGCTGCACCAGTGCACCCCTCCACACAAATTCATGGAAATCAGTTTGAGTTGTTTTTGCGTAATCCTGTTAACAAACAAACAAACAAACCAACAAGCGTAGAGGAAACCATTACCTCATTGGGTAAGTAATGATATAACAGAACTGCTTTGATGAATTGAGTCACATTCAAAGCTGCACGAAAACTCAAACTTTTAAAAGGTTTTTATATTGTTTGTGTGGTAATCCTATCTCCCCAGACTCTCTCTGAAAAATGGACATTTATTATTGGTCTTTCTTGCATCACTGTGAACACAGATGGACCTTGTATGGACCAAATTGTATTTTTTTTTTTTTCTCCCTAAAACTGTTTTCACTTGCAAATCAGAACCCTTAGCAACCACTTTGCAATTGCAATTGATATTTGCCAATAGGAGACTGGCACAATGGATTCTTGTTGAAGTTCCTTTATGTGATGATTCTTACCATTCCTGCCACATGTGCACACTTCAAAATGAAGTATTAGTGTTTGGATAGTGGATGTTCTGAAAAATGTTTGACTTTTCTCCTGCAGAAACGCAGGCACATTCAATTTAAGTAACCACTTTAGCATTAATACACATTTATATGGACCTCTCTGAAATTTAATCACTGACAAAAAACTGACAGTTTACTTCAGCTCAGTTAAAATCACTGTGTAGCATCTAGCTATCATGGTGTTTATCTACTGCACAGGCGTAACACACTATGAGACTGTGATGGAGAAGCATGAGAGAGAGTACTTATAAGCTGTGACGCCTGATTCATAAAAAAATAATTGAACCTAGCTGTAATTAATGTACACCAGTGAAAAAAAGAGAGTTAATTAAGTATTAAGAACAGATGCCTTGTAATGAAGAGCCAGTTGAAATGAGTCTGTATTTTAATCAGGCCAGCCTTGGAGATATGTTAATGTGTGTGTGTAGGTGGACAGGGAGGATGGTCGGGGCAGTGGGGCACAGGAAGGGGATGGACCCATGGCCAGGGGGTATGGCTGCAGGTCTCACCTTCTGGGCCACCTGGTTGACCCACGGGGAGGTGCAGTTACTCAGGTCAGGACCCCGCGGATTCCACATGACCTGCTCCGCCAAGCACTGGAACGAAGCGATTCCTGGAGAGGAGTGCAGGGAGAAGAAACGGAGAAGGACGAGTGGGGGGAGTAATGGAGAGATAATAAGTGTTAGGTGTCTGCAATTAAAGACGAAAATGAACAGTAGAGAGATGAGCACAAAGAAGATTTTTTTTTTTAACCCAGGACAAAATGGAATCAAATGAATTTTAAAAATGCAATAGTCTAAGTGTTTGGAGATGAGAGGGAAGAAAGAAGGAGATGGGGTAAAAAAAAGTCTGAGAGAAAATGGGCCAGAAGTGGAAAAGGTTAAATAATGGAGTGTAGGGCAGTGGGAAAGAGAGGGAAGAGAAAAGGAGGAAGAAGATGGCACAGGCAGAACAGGCTTTCATGCTGTAAAAGGAGGGATTTTAAAAGGAAACATTTGCACACATTACATTTACTCTGCACACACCAAAGACATCAGGTATGATCCTTCGCTGTCAAACAAAAACACCTACAGGGAAGCACCTTCAACCAGTCCTCATTTCCAGCTCGGTTTTTCTGTCTAGTTAGGAGGGTTCAGAAAAAGGACACTGAGCAGGGATAAAACGACAAACGGGTCTATCCGCTGCCACTAACGCACAAAAACAACGTGAAGTCACAAAGACGAGGCTGAGAAAAGACGGGAAACGGGACCACAGAGAGAAAGAGAGAGCGATAGAAGCAGAAATGAAGAGCAGAGACAGCAGAAAAAAAAACACCTCACAGTTGTAGACGGATCAGAGCAGATGTGGCGTTGCATTTCATACCCAGTTTTTCTCTCTCTCTCTCTCACACTGATTTTTTCCCCTCTCTCTCCCACTTTTGTCTATACTCTCCTCCATCGACCACAGATTGAGTTTGAGAGCTCTGCCAAAATGTGGCAATTAAGCCAGCTGCTAATTTGATGTAACTGCCGTTCTCACAGAGAGAACATACAGAACCATTGAAAGGCAGCGAAGAGGAAGATGCAGTTTTTTTTTCCCCCTGTGACTAAAGATTGCTTTTTGATGGCTGCAATGTTTAGAGGTATAGAAGCAAGCATGAAGGGAGGTGAACCCTGTGTTGTCTAGCCTTTCATTTCATTATTCCCCATTTTCAATCAGCTCTGTTTCTGTGGGAGATGAGCTTTTCATTCGAGGAGGACGGGCTTTCATCTGCAAGTCCACAGGGACTGTGCCTGCTGGTGGGACCAGCGCAGGGACAGAAGGAAAAAAAAAAGCACAAACATGCTGATCACTTGGGTACGTGCAGAGAGATGTACTGCACACACACAGTGAGAGCACACGTGAAAAACATGCTTGTTTGTTTCATAGAGTGGAAAACATGCACACATGTTTTTGAATGCACACATGCAGCCGTCCTCACCTAGAGATCCTTTGGGACACGGGCGGTCTACGGTCTCTCCTCTCTGTGTGGTGGGCCAGTCGACGCCACGGACCCGCTTCGCTTCGCACACATGGGGCTCCGGGCCTTGAGGAGGAGGGTGGGGTGGCCGGCGGGTGACAGGCACGGTAGCTGTGATTGGTCGAAGATCGGGGTGCTTGTTGATGGAGCCGATAGGGCGCGAGGTGGGCGCCAGAGGTCGGGCGGTGGAGGGACTGGCACTGGAGGTGAACGGCCTGGCTGGAACAGTGGTGGACACTTGGGCGGTGGTCAAAGGCCCTGAAGTAACCCCAGAATTATTCAGAGAGAAAAGGAGACTTAGTTAGAATCAGAGGCTACGAATGAGTGAGAGACGTTTGGAGGGTTATAAGAGGATGTAAGGGATTTGTTAGAGAGCTGCGAAGCCAAAAGCCAAAGAAGAAGATCAAGGGAGTGAAGGACACATGCATGTGAAAGTAAGACGTCTCTCACAAGTTGAGTTCAAAAGTTAGTCCGACAATAATTGGGATGACAAAAACATCTTTTTGAGCTTGTCAAAGCCTGTTCTCAAGAGAAAAAGCGAGACGCAGGGGAGGAGATGGAGAGAAAGCATCACCACAAGTCAGGGAGAAGTAAATAATTGATCAAATGTATCAGTGAAGTCACCATCACTAACAACCAAACCTAATGCGAAGATAAAAGCAACACATCACGACTACAAAATCCTAAATGATCAAACGCGGAGTCGGCGCACAACTCTGTGAGCGCTGCCGCCCGTCTGTCTCTGCCTCGTCTCTCTCTGGGCATAATCGGAGCTTTATACCGGCCTTTATGCGGCTCCGATATACAGTACATCCAAACCTCCCTCTTATATTGATGGACTGCCAAAAAGCCGTGTGCTGTTCTCGTTTCATCCTCCCTCTTATCATTTCAGAAAGACTTTTTCATTATCCATGACACAGTGAAGTTGATATGAAGTGCTACAGCAGTCAAACCTGAGAGGCTGCTCTTTACTGTAACGATGGCTGGATGGAAATACAATGATTTGGCACCTGAGGCATCCAAATGTCAGATATGACGCAGTCGCAAACACTTTCTGCTTTGGGCTCTTTGAAGTGTTTCCCTGGTCTAGAGAAAAGCATCATTATGTATTACAGCACAGTGGATATTAGAGATAAATGTGTTTGTTTCCAGATTCCCCTTCATAATTTCATGTTTTATGATTATAAAAGAATCACAAAAAAGAAAAACACAGTCATTGGAAGTACACCAGAAAACACTGATGTCTGTAAAGTACTCAGAATATTTATATTGATATAGAATTCATACATAATTTTTGTTGTAGTGTCTAAGTTAAGAGCGGATGGTGTTTCTGCACCAATTTCCAAATGCAAGGTATCTCAGAATTTTAGAGTTAAACGACAAAAGTTACAACTGTGCGTGCACTGTGCTGTCTGTGGTACCACTTCTTACCTGTGGTGGGGTCTGGTGGTCCAAACTCCAGTGGGTAGCGCAGCACATTGTAGTTGTTCCAGACATACAGCTGGTTGTCTCGCGGGTTGTAGTCCACAGAGGAGATGTACTGATAGGGGTTGGGGAAAGCGATGTTGACGGGCTCTTCGCGACCGTGGTTAGTGTTGTAGGCGTACATCACCAGGTCACCACCCGCTTCACTGTCATCGTCCTGGTACACCGACCGCACCGCGTAAAGCACACCGCAAGCCATGAAGGCGTTGGACGCCATCCTTTTGTCGAAGCTGGTCTCCCACGTGCCTTCGAAGCGGAGGGTGTAAGGGTTTACCTGGTGGAGAAGAGGAGATCTGAAATCAGCTGAGGCTTAATGTACAAACCATTACACTGGGAGGATTTGGGGGAAATTGCTTTTATTATCTTCGCCAAGGAGACTGTGTTTTGTGCATTGGTTTATTATTTCACAGGATTATGAAAGAACTACAGGATGGATTACCACTAAACTTAGTTGAAGCATGCAGTATGGGTCAGGAAAGAATCCATTAAATGTTGGTGTGGTCCCTGACCGGGAGGCAGGTCCAAGATTTTTTTCATTGCAGTGGTTTTTTTAACACTTTGGTTTATTTAGAGAACAATTAATGGTGGAAACTTACATGTATTAGTGTGTGCAATTTGGTGCAGCTTGATTGGGGACTATTTGGCCTTGGAAGAGGTTGTACGCTCTGAACGCAATTCTACTTTGTTTTGTAGATTTCTTCAAGGCTCAAGATACTTATATGTTAACATTCGATTTATTAAAATCCAGTTCTTCATAGTTTGAAGCTGACTATAAGCCTAACGATGAATTTCAGGATTAACAATACTAAACATTAAAATGCAGCATCTATAAAGTCTCTAATTTCATTATTTTAAAAAAGAACTGAGTCGGCAAACTATTTTTCATGTTGCTAATGTTTCTTGGAGCCCACAGCAGCACAGATTTATAAGCACTTGTAAAAACATTTAAAAAGTAATTAAACCGTCAGCTTCGGAGAAGATTTTTTTTTTTTGGTCCCTGTAGTTACGCGATGTTGCATCTGTGTAATATACCTTCAATCTGTATGTTGAGGCATAACAGACCTCCAGATGTTTGCTGCTCTCCGAGTGAATAGGAAAAATAATAAAACTCCCCAGAAACCAAACAATTCCTTAATGATTAAAGTGATCACGTTCTTGTTTATTACTTTGTCGCTCTGTTATGCTCCAGTCTCACAGCTCATGCAAGGTTTGATATTTTAGATGGATGGTTTCACTTGTGCAGTTTGAAAAACAATTTTCTTGTAAGGTCAAAGATAGCGTTAATAAATGTGATGCGTCTGCAGGAACAAGACATTCATTCGAACTCTGTTTAAGTGGGAACTTGGTTGCAGTTTTGTTTGTTGAGAAACAAAGAACCAGCTGGATTTAAGATTCATATATTGAAAACAATGTGTTCGTGGTTACAAGTAAGAAGGCATCCTAACAATTCCACATTTCGATAAATCTGTTTGTTGCAAGAAAGAAAATGGTCATGGTGTCTCTACGCTTCACCACATTTTCAAAAACAAATCAAATATTTTACTCACAAGAGAGGATTAGTTTTTGGTTATTATGGGATTTGAAATAAGGCCTAGAATTTGCAGCCGATATTTATGCAACCCCGTTTTTTCTGGCCAACGATCTCTGTATCTCATTTGAAGGTTCACTTATGTAACCTGAACAGTAAATCATTCATGTGTGACATATGACCTCTCATCTGGCAAGTAAAATGAGATTGTGTCATAATCCACTCCTGCATATATAATCCACATCTCATCCCCGTCTGTGCAGCGCTGCTCGCCCACCTGGCTGACCACAAGTCGTCCGTTGTTGGACTCTGTGGCGTAGATCACCCAGAGGCCATTCTCATCCACAGCTAGGTCGATGTCCGACTTCCCTCCCCAGCGGTAGGGAGACGTGTCATGGTAGTTGGCGTTTGTGATAATGGCCTCTCCGCTCTTGATGCGCGTCCGTAAGTCATACTTGACTATGTTTCGTGTGCGCTCCTTGTTGTAAAATACCGCCCCATCATACACCACAAACCCTGTGCCGTCAACTCTGTTGGGCAACCTGTTGACAGAGAATCACATGAGTGTTGCAAAAATCCTAGAAAACAAGTTAATTCATCTACTCTGCACGACTAAATCCTACAAGACGAGCCCACGGTGAGGGAGCTGACACCACAGAGGAACCATTCTGTTATCACCATCCATATCCACGTCAAAAGCCAATAAATCAATACAGAAGCAGATGCTATTTGATCATCCGGGACAGTGGGAGGCGCCCTCACTTGTAGGTGGTGGTGGCTCGGTTCTGTTTGAAGTCTTCCCAGGAGGCATACTCATACAACATGTCGGTTCGATAGGGGGTCCAGGGCATGACGTAAAGACGGTCCCCAGACTGCAGCGGGTCCTTGCACCACGCCCCTGCCTGGTGCTCTGCCTCCTGCTGAGAGCTGGCCGCCTGCACCCGCAGCAGTGTCCCCGGGCACACAAAGACTGGAGCAGAGGAGGGGTGTTGGAGCAGAGAGGAGAAGAGGGGGGAAAAAGGAAGATATAGAAAATGAAAACGAAGCATTGTAAAAATGAAACATATCATGGGAACGGCAGGGGAGGGAGAAAAAGAAATAGGAAAAGGCCAAAGACCATGGGAGACAGAACGGGAGAGGGACGAGGAGAGGCCAGTAAGAAGATGTGAGTAGATAAAGGTAAGTTGAGAATTGAAAAGGGAACAAAGAGTAGGGAAAGAATGGGACAGAGGGGAGGAGGGGGGGAGTGAAGTGAGGTACATTATCAGATTTAAAGTGAAGGAACATATAAAAGCTCATTTGTAGAACATCAGCATTGTGGTCGGAAAGCGTCTTGATATGATAAATGGGAGATTTCTGGCTGCCGCCACGGCTTAACTATGGTCTCTAATCTAATTTATCTTGGCCTACTTTTTATTTGATTGTGCATTTTTTATTTCAAAGGCCTCTGCTTCGCTGCTATGCTGCTGGGTGGTTAAACAGTAATTGTGGAGCTTGTTTTATTAGGACTCAAATTTGGCTCTCAGTCAAGAGTAATGCCTCCAAGAAAAAAAAGCATCCTGGGATAAAGATGTGAGGTTGGCCAGACGTCCCCGTCCGCCGCAACAGTATCGGCTCGTGAATCTACACTCATACGGCAAACAGACAAAAAACAACATTTAGAGATAAAAATACATAAGACACCTCACACACACTCCATACAGTAAGCAAACGCACACGCACACGCACACGCACACACACACACACACACACACACACACAGGATGTCTACATTAGGCAGGTGGAGGTCATCCACTGGGGACGAGTATAAATTGGCTGTTTGACGCTGTGTGTCCCTGCCTGAGTGCCCTGGGACTACTGGGCATGCCAGGTGATCTATGAGGAGAGCTGCTGGCATCCTCGCCACTCTGACATCACAGGGGTACCCGGCAACAGAGAGCAAGAGAGAGAAGGGGGGGAGTTGGAGGCCCTACAGAATAAAAACAGCTGAGGAGTCCCCATGTCTCTGCTGCCAGTTTATTTATGTGGCTCTCTGGCGCAGGGTTGCGACAAAAACCAGGCACCTGCTGGTCACCTCATGACTGAACGCATCTCTGAACTAATTGGACGCTGCAGGGGCCTTTGGACACAGATGACATACAGCACACACATGCAGACAGACACACACAGGCTGTACGAGGACAGCACACGACACGCATGCACACATCAACATGCGTAATACATACACTGTCACACCGCGACTGTAAGAGTGATGGATCAGTCTAGGCTCAAACTGTCTTGAATATTGCATGGAGTCTGGTGCGGGAGGAGAATCATAATGGAGAGATAGCGGAGTTCCTGGAGGATTTTTGAAAATCCAGCTTCCTCTTATTTATCCTGTCGTGCTGTTGTTGATAGTGGCGAGTGATCTGTAGCGCCGGGCCACTCAGGAATTAGCCAGCTCTTTCTGCTGGGGTCCGACCGGGACTGCAACTGACAGCCAAATAGGAATCTAATCACGCTCAGGCATAAACAAACACTCTGGATACAGACTCTTCACAGGGAGGAGGCTTGTCAGGCTCCATTGTTGAACCAAAATGCTCACTCGAAAGCAGTGACGCCTGAGGTGTTTGCTGTGCAAATATGAACGTGGGTGACTGAAATATGCGAAATGATGTTCAGAGCAATGCTTAAATTCAGCACTTTCAGACAGGCGAACAATGACTTTCTCGACTGCCAACGTGCCGATTCTTCATCTCACCGCAATCGAATGACATCTCTATCAATCCAGACGCCTGAGCACATCGCAAGCAAACGGAAGTTTTGCTCCAAAATATTTGAAGTAAAAGGCCATAATGGGCGAGGTATTATTAGAGCAGAAAAGCTATGGAGCAGAGGAAAATAAAAACAACCATTAGAAGTAGGACACCGCCTCAAAAGTACAATGCTACTGTAAATAGAGAAGTAAACAGCATGCAGAAAGCAAAGCAGCATCACTGCATTTAGGTGACCCATAAACAAAGCCAGGCACACTCTGCCTCAAGGTAGAATAAAGGACAAAGAAACACAAACATGCAAGCCCGTTCTCTCCAGTAGGGATGACCTATTAGCAGAGTATATTTACTCCTTTGATACTTTTATGTAAAGTCATTCACAACTGAGGGACAACACTAAATTACCGAGTACTAATATACACGCTTGCATTCACTCCATCTATCCGCTGCAACACAGTAAAATGTGTGACAATATTGGACTGAATTTATTTAACAGATATGTAATGCCTCTCTGGAACAATTTGACTCTTGGTCATTTATCCGATAAAAAACATCAATTTTACATGATTAAAATAATATATAGCTATAATATAAAGCAAAAGCATGTTTACTGAAAGCAAATCAGAACTTGTGTGATAGAGGCATGACGTGGCTGTCATTCCCCATAAAGAGGGTGATTGAAGGAAAGTGTTCGTTAAGTATATGTTATATATAAATATATAAGTCTTATGTGCAGGTTTTATAATGCAGGGATTTATATGGGTGTATGGTTTATGCTGTTGAATTCAAAGACATAGTTTTATTCACTTGTACTGGTGTGAGCTACAAAGCCTATAACATTTGACCTATGAAGAGAAGAGAGCATTCCCTCACCTTTGTAAACATAAGTTTAATGATTTATGATTCAATACTGTATTTGTGAACATTTTATGAGCAGTTCTATTATTGGATACCAGCTGTGATTAGTATTCATTTTGACTTCCATGACATTTATAACGATGCTCTAATTAAAACCAGCAATAAGAGAACGATATAAGAGCTTTTAGAGGCTGTTCTCCTTAATCCAGACTGACCACGACATAAAGGTAAGAGGCAGAGAATGCACTACAATCTGTCATGACTCGTCTGCAATACAATTTTCTCTCCACACACTGTGCCCTCCACAGTGTCCCTCCCAAAATACTGTGATTCTGTTCATTATAGTGCCTAACCTTGCAGGCCTGTCCTAAATTGGTTGCAGTCTGTACTCTATTGGCCTCATCATCACAATGAAACTGCAGCACACCGTAGACTAACAGTCTGTCATCCTCCGCCATGCTCCTCTGTTCCCTCCTCTCCCATGTCAACCCTGCCGACAGCCGATCAGCGAGCCTTGGTTTATTCTAATGAACTAGTTGCTGGGTGGGCCCGGTGTCAAAGGGGCTCATCAAAGGCCTCCAGGCTGCACACACAGGCCACGAGGACACAGAGACACACACACACACACACATTCCAAACAGAAACAGTGGCCACGCTTCACACCCTGCAAACCCTGCCTAGGGGGCTTCATTAACTCTGACCTGCGCTCCCCAGCCTTCGCGGCTGCCTTCCTGTTTACCAGCATCTCTCTTCCTTTCCTTCGCTCTGTCTCCCTCTCTCCCTCCCTCTAACTGTGAGGGGTGATTGTAGCAGTGGGAAACCAGAGCAGCCAAACCCTATATATAGCAGTAGAGTCTGTATAGTACAATAGGCTATTATGACCACAGTATGAATGAGGTATTAGGAATTAGGCATTAGGCGTAAATCTTGAGATTAGGCATTATCCAAGTCTGGCAAGAGCAGGTTAGCTGGAGTAGGAGCCATCTGGGATTATGTCAGATTGTTAGATTAATAGATTAATCCCTATTTGGGTGCGGATGGAAATCTTGTAGTCATGATCATCCGAGTGAAGTCACTAAGCAGCACAGACACTTCTTTACCCTACAAACTAGCCAGATGGCTAATGAAATTTACCTTATCGGGGATTAAAAGCCAGGCTGTAGCTATCCTACTCCAGCATGCCAATTACTGCCACACATACAAGGAAATACTGCTGTAATAATTGGCTATTTATCTCCATAATCCCTTTTCCAGGCACAGGTCAGTTGCTACTCGTCAATATGAGGCTGCAGTAGAAAACAATGAAAGTGCCAGAACTTTCCCAGAAATGACAGTAAATATCTCCCGTAAGTGTCGAGAAGCAATTTGTGATCGACTGGCAACGCAATTAAAAGTGAGCGCTGACAGCTTTAGGCTAAATTTAGACTTTTTCATTTTGGTTGTCTTCTATAATCCATGGTGTTCTCATGTTTGATGTGACAGCATCATGGTGACGGTTAATGTTCGACTTTGATGATCTAAATACCCCCTGCCAAACGTTGGCAGCTGTTTCTAAAGTGCTGCCTTTGTGGTGTTTGTGTTGTGTCTTTTTTTCCCTTAACTACAGGGATCTGAGAGCTCTGCTGGCCCAAGTCATTGCCCAGTCTGCAGTCATGGCCTGTTCACAGGACTCACTGCTGAGAGCATGCTGCTCTAATTGAATCCCACACCTGTTACTGGCAGGTGCAGCACACAGGCAGCAGGGGGCAGAGAGGAGCATGACATGGTACTCCTACATCCATGCTGGACAGTTAATGGTCTTTAAGTGTGCAGTGAGTCTCTTGATGGTATGCTGATGTGCATTCAGAAGCCAATTTGTGTGTATTTGCATGTGTGTGTGTTTGTTTGTGTGTGTGCAGCTCAGAGTAAGAGAGGAAGAAAAAGAGAAGAAAGCATGGAGAAGGATGTGAGCGTGTTCTGTGTGCAAACAAGAAGAGAGAGAGGAGTGGAGTCAGACAGAGTAAATAGGTTATTTCCTGTGAAATGAGAATTAGGAGTGAGTTAATCTGCTGAGGAGTGACATATAGTGACAGAGAGACCAAAAGAGAAAGACGGAGGGAGAAGGGAGGGGCTCCCATTGTGTTTCCATTTCCTTATAGACTACAGGGGGGTCAAGTCCTGGGAGTAGAAATACAATACAGAACAAACAGCCGTGCACAGACATATACATACAGACGCACACCCATAGGATACACAAATGCTCAGACAATGCACACAGACTGTCCAGACAGTGGAAGAGGCAGGTGTCAAACCGGCGCCTTTATCAACCCAAACATTTACCCCAGAGAAAACCCTTCACTGAGGCCAAAAGCAAAGTCTT